TGTAATTCTGAGTGTTTTATGTGCTGCAGAACAGGAACCTGCTGTAAAACAGCAATTATGCTGAGTCAGGCTTGATTTTTAATAATCTTTTCCTGTTGAATCAATAAATCAAATCAAATAATAACCCATTCTTTTCTACAATATTGCAATGGTGATCTCTTAAAGCATTTTATTTTATTGCTGGATAACCACTGCTGAGCCCCTTTTAAAAATGGCAGAAAATGTTCAAACTGAGGGCAAATTCTGAGACAGAAAACTATCATCTGTGTCAGAAAGAACTAAAATTAGAAAAGGAACGAGGTGAAACTCAAGGCCAAAGTGTTGATTGGTATACCCTCTGCCTGCTCTAGACATGTCTGTGTTTAAAGCAGAACTTTGTGCAGATGTTAGCATTAGCATGTATGCACAAGCCCGTTGTACTGGAGATTTGATCAATGGAAACACAGATGAAGTTTGTGACCTAGGAATTTGTTCTCTAAGGCATCGGGGCATTGGAATCAGATTGTAGCTACTGAAATTGTAAAATGTGTTTTGCTTAGTAGTAATACAGGCTTATTCAACTGGTGGTCCAGAGGCCACATCTGGCCCCCGAGTGACCAGAGTTTGGCTCACCAATTGGTCCATTCCTCTCTTAAGCTCTTAAACCCCTGGTTTTCAAATTTAATTACTTTAAGTTTTCTTAGTTAAACATAGACATGTGTGGTATCTACAGAAATGTTATCATCCTGGCTAGAAGCTGGTAAAATCCATTTTTATGAAAAGCAAAGACAGCTAAAATCACAAGGAATTGCAGATAAAACTATGAAAGAGAAAAAAAAGTTGGTTTTAAATTTTGGCAAGTCAGAGATGTCAAAATAATATTTGTGTTAAACAGAAGGCAAAATGTGTTCTTTTTGTTTTTGATATTGTTTCATTATCACGACTTTTAAAGGGTTCTGTATGTTGTATTCATGATTAAATGCAGCAAAATAAACTATTTCAAAGGTAACAGATTTTTGTGATACTGGGCTTATTTACATAATGACTTTAATTACTGGATGTTCGGCCCCTGTGCTGTTGGTCTGTAGTTGAATCGCCCTGCTTTAATACAACATGAGACACATTGAAAARCATGTATTAAGAAACATATTGGGTTGTAACATACAAAATAAGAATTTGCTTCCTATTTTAACCATGTATTTTATTTGTACTGTCAAGGAATAAGAAAAAATGTATTTTTATTTTACCAATCATCATAAATGACCTTGTTTTCTGACCCTTTGATACCCAAATCTAATCAGACTGAGTACTAATGGAATTACTATTTCTATTTATGAGTAAACACATAATTTTGTTCAGGAGATATTGTGTACACAAGGACACCGCACTAACACCCAGACAGCCAGAGAACATATATTAGAGGTGCAACAATACCTAAAATTCACGWTTCGGTACGGTTCAATACTGTTTGATATTTTTTCGATAGAAAAAAGAAAAATATCCATGCCCTTTTTTAACTTGTAATTTATTTAAATTAATTATGAACATTTATTTAACCTCAAAAGTACAGTTTTTAATTGAAATGAGGCTGAAACGCAAGTTTCTCGGTGGATCTGCGCTCGACAATGCAGCCTAGGTGGAGTAGTCTAACACAGATCCACTGATCCTTTAACACAGAGCATCTTCAGAAGACAAGTTGATAAAATAAATGTAAAAAAAATCTGTATTGTTTGATACAAGTGTGTATTGAACCTAAAGCACTGTTCGATACGGGTACATGTATTGTTGCACTCCTAATATATATTTATACTTCTGCTTCTTTTTTGTTCTAATTTCGTGCATCTTCTTTAAGACATAACAGTAAATAAAATGGAGCAAGAAAAGCATCTTATTATTATTTACCTCATGCTATTTCTTTTCTTTTTTCTTCTTTTTAGATACGTGTGCACATGAAAGAGTCGTAAAACAAATAATAGAAACCAAAGTGATCTCGTGTTCTTGTTTATTGGAAATAAGAACACAATATGACAAGAACAATACACATCCTAAAGCCAAACAGAATCAAATCTTTCCAAGTATGTCCACTAAAAGGCTAAATATGTTTTCAGTAAACACAAAGCAAATATTCTCTCAGAAAACATCCTTATTCTTGAAGGTAAAAGCGGCTCTGATTTGTCAATGCAGGTGAGTTTTTATCATCATCATTCCTAAAAGTAAATTTGTTACGTTATAGCTTTGTCAAATGTGAATGGGATAAAAAATCATCATTGTAGAAAATAAAAGAAATACTGACAAGTAAGTCTAGTTTTGAAGAAAAGCTTTTATTTCCTACTTCAAGGACATGTTTTGGCRTAAAAGAAGCACAGAGTGATAGAAAGAATGTGTCCGTCTACGGTTCTGTGACAGCGGTTTGTCCGGGAGGTCAAGGTGAGGAAGTGTTTTGTTTCTTCTTTTTTTATTATCTTTTTTTTTTCTTTTTCAGGTGGCGACAGGCGGGCAGGGGGAAGGCTTAGTGCTGGATCCTACGAATGGACTGCACCTGGTTGGTGTGAGCCTGGGTGCTGTACTCGTTGTAGTTTCTGTACTCGCCTTGGTGTCTGTCTCTCTCCAGGATGTACTGGTAACCACGATAACCAGGGAACTGGTAGGCCACCCAGCTGCGGAGAGGGAGGACGGGTCGAGTCAGGGTTACATGGAAGGATTCAGCAGAYATGGTTTATATTAAACAAAATGTGGATTTGTTGCTAAAAGTTCTGTTTTTTCTTCCAGCAGGTACAGTCTGCCCGCTCGCCTCTAACTAACATAAAGTTTTATCTAATAACTAGGGGTGCAACAATACATGTACCCGTATCGAACAGTGCTTTAGGTTCAATATGCACTTGTATCAAACAATACAGATTTTTTTTTACATTTATTTTATCAACTTGTCTTCTGAAGATGCTCTGTGTTAAAGTATCAGTGGATCTGTGTTCGACTACTCCACCTAGGCTGCATTTTTTAGCACAGATCCACTGAGAAACTTGCTGTTTCAGCAACATTTCATTTAAAAACTGCACTTTTGAGGTTAAACAAATGATCATAATTAATTTAAGTAAATTACAAGTTTAAGGGGCATGGAAATTTTTATTTTTTGTGTCGAAAAAATATCGAGCCATGAGACTAAAGTATCGAACCGAATCGTGAATTTCCTGTATCGCTGCACCCCTGCTAATAACAGCATCTCTGAAATAAATAACAAACGGCCCTATTTGGAAAATAAACCTTTATCTATAGAAGAAAAAAAACACAACGGCTATAAAAACAGATGTAGCGACGAGAAGCGACTCACGCTCCAGAGTTGATTTTGATGGAGGGCACCTCCTTGCTGCACCAGCCCATGGCCTGGAGGGAGGGGTAGTCATCGCAAATCTCAAACTTACGGCCCTGGAAGTCCTCACACTCGTACAGGGTCACTTTGCTGTCACTGTGGTTCTGCAGGGAAAAGACAYAATTGTAGTTAGAAGACAATCAAGCATTTTTTTGTATTATTTGTTTCAAATGTTTGGATTTGAACAGCTGGATTTGCTGGATGTATTTAGACAACGTTACTGATTTAAAGAGKTTAATGTTGATGTGGTGGCTACAAATACAATGATAAAAGCAGATTAGTGTAATGGAGGAAGAGTTGGATCCCTGGTGACAGGGATGAAAAGGAGGAGCAGAACGTACAGCGCACTTGATGGGTCTGAAGGAAAGCATGTGCTCGGTTCTGTAGCTGCTGTTTCCGCTCCAGGCCTCGTAGCGAGGATAGTCTCCCTTCTCCAGGATGAACTGCTGTCCCTGAAACTCTGGGTACTCGTAACCCACCCAACTGGAGGACAGAAATATGGATAAAAAAATAAATAAATAAATGAACGAGTGCAAAAGAAAGCCTGAGAATAAAAAGTGTGAAACTATAAAATAGAAAAACCCACATTTCAGCAATTAAGAACTGATTTCTAAAATGTGATCTTATGATAAACAACCCAGACAAACCCCACATAGTAAAGCCAAGCACAGCTTTTTCTTTTTTTTTTTTTTGTCACTTAGAGGCACAAAGTAAACACTGACTGCTGCTGCTGCTGTTCCTGCTGCACCCAGGGCGCTTTATCTGATCGTCAGTCAGTCAGCCGGCAGCTGCTCGCTGCCAGCTCATATCACATCAGGGTCACACTCGAATGCATAAACACACTCACACACACACACACACACACACACACACACACACACAC